GAATGAGCTGCTTCAGTCGTCCTAGCATGTCACCAACTCCTCTTGACCGCTGTAGATCACCTGGAATGCTTGAGCCCCTTGGCAGCTCTAGAACACCCATGTCTGTCCTGCAGCAAGCTGGTGGTTCCATGATGGATGGTCCAGGTCCCCGAATTCCTGACCACCCGAGAACGTCTGTGCCAGAAAACCATGCTCAGTCTAGAATTGCACTTGCCCTGACGGCTATCAGTCTTGGCACCGCTCGGCCTCCTCCGTCCATGTCTGCAGCTGGCCTTGCTGCAAGAATGTCCCAGGTTCCAGCTCCAGTGCCTCTCATGAGTCTCAGAACAGCCCCAGCTGCCAGCCTTGCCAGCAGGATTCCTGCAGCCTCTGCAGCAGCCATGAACCTGGCCAGCGCCAGGGCACCTGCCATCCCAACCGCAGTAAACCTGGCTGACTCAAGAACGCCAGCTGCAGCAGCAGCCATGAACTTGGCCAGCCCCAGAACAGCAGTGGCACCTTCGGCCGTGAACCTTGCTGACCCTCGTACCCCCACAGCGCCAGCTGTGAACCTGGCAGGAGCCAGAACCCCAGCTGCTTTGGCAGCTTTGAGTCTCACGGGTTCTGGCACAGCCCCGACTGCTGCAAACTATCCGTCTAGCTCCAGAACACCGCAGGCTCCAGCCCCTGCAAACCTGGTGGGTCCTAGATCTACACATGCCACAGCTCCTGTGAATATTGCCAGCTCAAGAACCCCTCCAGCCTTGGCCCCTGCAAATCTCACTAGTGCTAGAATGGCTCCAGCCTTGTCTGGTGCAAACCTCACCAGCCCTAGGGTGCCCCTCTCTGCCTATGAGCGCGTTAGTGGCAGAACCTCACCACCACTCCTTGACCGAGCCAGGTCCAGAACCCCACCAGGAGGCCCAGGCTCCAGAACCCCACCATCTGCCCCAAGCCAGTCTAGAATGACATCTGAGCGGGCTCCCTCTCCTGCCTCTAGAATGGTACAGGCTTCCTCACAGTCAGTTCTTCCTCCAGCTCAGGATCGGCCTAGGTCCCCTGTGCCATCTGCTTTTTCTGACCAGTCCCGACCTTTGCTTGCCCAGACCACCCCTGTAGCAGGGTCTCAGTCCCTTTCCTCTGGAACGGTGGCAAAGACCACATCCTCTGCTGGTGACCACGATGGCATGCTCTCTGGCCCCGTCCCTGGGGTGTTCCACCCAGAGGGTGGGGAACCAACTGCCTCTATGGAGGCCCAGCAGCCTTCTGCTTTGGCTGCCCTGCAGCCAGCAAAGGAGCGGCGGAGTTCGTCCTCCTCGTCCTCCTCTAGCTCCTCCTCTTCATCGTCGTCGTCATCGTCGTCGTCGTCCTCCTCCTCTGGCTCCAGTTCTAGCGACTCGGAGGGCTCTAGCCTTCCCACTCAACCTGAGGTAGTACTGAAGAGGTGAGAGGACTTTTAGAACTCTTCTACGGGGAAGGTTTTGGGGATGGTTGGTGGGGGTGGGGAGGGAGAAGCCCTATCCAGAGGTTCTTGGCTCTCTGAGGAGGTATGGGGACCATGATCCTTAAGCTGGGGGTAGAAGAGAATGCCGGGGTGGGGGTTAACGGGGGGGGAGGAATGGGACAGGTAAAAGTCTCCGAAGGTTAATTCTCTAGAGGATAATGATAAGTTTTCCGTCTCTACAGAGGACAGAACTAGAGGAAATGGACTTAATTTTACAGCAGGAGGGATGGCAGTTAGACCTCAAGAGGAACTCCCTGGGCTGGAAGGATCTTCAGAGGTCATCCTATCCCTCTCCCTGCCTCCAGGCAGGACGGCCCCTCCCCCAGCCAACCCACACACACAGAGGCCTCCCCATGCTGTGGCTCTCCTCTCTGAGGACGGAGAGGACGGAGACCACCCAGCCTGGCTTCCACACCTGAGCCCAGGGACCTTATTCCTCCATCAGGGACATTCTTGAGGTTTAACCTTGATCCCTTTTGCTGCGGGCCCCAGCCTGTTGCTTGTGTTAGCAGAGGTTGGGTCAGTTGGGGCCACTGCTCTCCAGAGAATGCACTCACTGGCTCTCGGTTTGGAGAGCTCCGGGCCTTTCTCAGGCACCCCTCCCCCACTGCCGTTCCTCCAGGCCAAGGAAGGTAGGGTTGGGGCTGGGGCAGCTTGTCTCCTTGTGACGCCCTCTTCTCCCACAGGGTCCCCAGCCCCGCCCCAGCCCCAAAGGAGGCTGTTCGAGAGGGCCGTCCTCAGGAACCGACCCCAGCCAAGCGGAAGAGGCGTTCTAGCAGCTCCAGTTCCAGCAGCAGCTCCTCCTCTTCATCGTCCTCTTCTTCCTCCTCTTCCTCCTCCTCCTCCTCCTCTTCCTCTTCTTCGTCTTCCTCTTCTTCCTCTACTTCTTCCTCCCCCTCCCCTGCTAAGCCTGGCCCTCAGGCCTTGCCCAAACCTGCAAGCCCCAAGAAGCCACCCCCTGGCGAGCGGAGGTGAGTGCTGCCTTGCTTGAGAAGGAAGGGGTGGGGTGTGACCCTGGGTTGTGAGATCCCTGCTGGACTGTGGTGTCTGCTTGTACAGTAGGAGTGGGGCTCTCCTCTCCCTGCTTACTCTGTTGTGCCCTGTTCTGGCAGAGGGCTGTCATCCAAGTGGGTGCTCAAGCCAGAATTGGGGAGTCCTAGGTTCCTTCCTCTCCCTGCCCCTGACATGCAGCCTGGTCCCAGGTTCCAGGGATTCTAGCTTTTAAGTCTCCCCGTTGCTACTGCCAGGGTCTGGCCACCGTCATCTTCTCCCGACTCTATCCACAGCCTCTTCCCTGTCTCCCTGCCTCCACGCCATTCTCTTCCACACGTAGCCAGAGGGATCTTTCTAAAACGCACATCTGGTTACTCCCTTCACAAATCCTTCCGGGACGCCCTGTGGCCTGCAGGATAAAGCCCCACCTCTGCGGGAATGGCGTGTGAGGCTCTTCACCAACTGGCCTTGCCTGCCCTGTGTTCTCCTCTCCTGCCCGCCCCCACACATGCCCTGTGCTCCAGCCACACTCAGCAGCGCCTTGCAGTCTAAGGAGAACCCCATGCCTTTGGACATGCTGTTCCTCCTGCCTGGAATTCCCTTGTCCGCCTGGTGAACTCCTCGTTCTGCAAGACTCCGCTCAAACAGCACCTTCAAGAAGACTACCCTGCCCCTTCCCTGCCCTGCCCCATGTCTCCCTCCCCTGGGTCCCCAGACCCCATGTACATCGGTCCTGCGGGGCTGCTTCCCACACGTTGGGCCAAGCGAGCCTCCCTTGGCCTTCCTTCACCATCAGACTGAGCCCCTCCAAGGGCAGGGACTGTCTTTATCTTTGCCTCCCCCGCTGCACCCCGTGCCCCGCCTGTTGGGGTACTCGGTGGATGGTGTGCGGGCGGATGGGTGAGTGAGCGGATGAAGGTGGGTCTGAGGTTGGCCCTGCGTGGTATGAGGTTTGGTGGTCAGGACCTGGGGTGGGGTGGGGGTGGTCCTGAGTGCTGGCTTGTGGGTTTGAAAGAGTGTGGCACTATGGGGACCTACTCTGATCCCCAGGTCCCGCAGCCCCCGGAAGCCAATAGACTCCCTCCGGGACTCCCGGTCCCTCAGCTACTCGCCTGCGGAGCGCCGCCGCCCCTCACCCCAGCCCTCACCGCGGGACCAGCAGAGGTAGGGTTGCCAGTGTGTGCTGTCCTGCCAGTAGCTCAGTCTGGCTGCCACTGACTTCTGCAAAATAAGTTCTAAGGCTCCAAGGTACCAAGGGTTGGTGGTGTCCTGTGTGTGGTCTCATGTCTGTCCTTCATTGTAGCAGCAGTGAACGGGGTTCCCGGAGAAGCCAGCGTGGGGACAGCCACTCCCCGGGCCACAAGCGCAGGAGGGAAACGCCCAGCCCCCGCTCTGTGCGGCACCGTTCCTCCAGGTATGTGTCTTTGTCACACTCTAGGGCTGGGCTCACTTCTGAGAGCTCCAGGGCTGGCTGGGGCCTCTGCATTGATTATTCTCTTCCATTTCAGGTCTCCGTGAATCTTTTTTGGGGAATTCCACCATACCCCAAGTTCTGGAGCCACAGGACGTGCCCCCTTTCTCCCCAACAGAGCCGTGGGAGGAGGTCTTTGTCTGTCCTCCCCCCCAACCCTGGCAGCATCCTGGGGGGAGGGCTCCCTTCTTTCCCTCCCTCTTTTTTTTTTTCTTTGTTCTGTGAAATGTTAATCTCTGTGAGTTTTTCCTGGTTCACATGTTTTGGGGGGTTTGGGGTGGGTGGGAATGAGAATGGGAGTTGCGGGAGGGGAGGATACAGTGGGGACTCCCAGGTCTTGACTCAGAAAGGATCTGGGAGGCACTGCCCCCCTTTTAGCCCCGAGTTCTTGGGGGGATGATGGTTTGGTACTTGCGGACCTGTGTGAGGTATACCTGGAAAAAAGGGGCAGTTGATTAGTTGGCTCCTCTTGGCCTCCCAGTGAGGTTGTGGCCCCCTCCCCCCCAACTTTTCTTCACGTTTCTTAAAGGCATTTTGGTTTTTTAAAATCTGTACAGCAAGAGCAACTTTTTCTGTCAAATAAAAACGAGAAATGCAGGAATTGGGTCTATAGATTGTTTATTATGGGTGGGGAGAGTTAGGAGAGGAGCTGCCCTTATTCTGTGGCTGCATCCCTCTTGCAAGGGGCATACCTTGGAGGAGCCTTATGGGGTGGCTCTAGGCTGTGGATCCCCCACAGAACCCACTCAACACGCTCGTTCCAGATGGGAGCCAGCATGCTCATGCTAGGAGGGGGCTGGCCACTCTGAAGAAACAAAGCCTCTAAACCTTTTATCCCCAGGCTGAGCAGAAGGCTGGCCTGGGGGCCCTGGGTTCCTCTCCCCATTATGGCCTTTTGAGGGGTAGGCTGGGCTGGGGGTTGGCAGCTGGACTCAGAGAGCTTGGGATGCAGCAGGCTGGCCTGGAAGAGGCTGAGGGTGGGGCAAGGCGGGGCACACCAGTGAGGTGATGCCTGAGTCAGGAGAAGGTGTGTAGAAAGAAGCAGCAACCAGGTGGACACCCAAATCTCTTTTATTGGGGGGGTAGGGCGGTTGAGGGACCTCTCACTGCACAGCTTGTTCATTGGCGCTGCTTCCTGAGTCCTGTGGCTTCATCACATCTGGCAGCTCGGGTGGGCTGGAGAAGGGCTCGATGCGCAGGGCCTCAAAGGCCTCATCTGGTGGAGAGGGGGTGGCCACTGCAAAGTGAGTCTCCCACCCTTACAGAACCAACCTGATCCTGCTCCCCTCCCCCAGCCTGGCCATGCTAGGGCCCTTTTCCTCACCCTCTGCATCCCTCAGCCTCTGGGATTGCATCCACCTACAATCTGCCCCATCACCTTGTTCCCTTCTCTTGCTTCTCATCATACTTTGAATAAAATCTCATCGTGTCATTATGTCTCTGCACATGTCTCCTTGTGGTCCCCATGTTCCTACATCAACCTCTTTCTTGCCTCAAAGTCTCTGCATTTGCCACTCCCTAGCTTGACACTTAGAATGGCTGGCTGCCTAAGAAAGGCATCCAGGGGCAATCAAAATATCACCTCTTCAAGGCCACGACAGTGAGAGGCCCACACACCGCGATGAAGAGTGGCCCCCGCTCGCCGCAACTAGAGAAAGCCGTTGCACAGAAACGAAGACCCAACACAGACAAATTTTTTTTAAAAAAATGTTTGACCAAAAAAAAAAAAAAAATCACCTCTTCAGAGAAGCGTTCCCCAACCACCCTGTACAACCACCCACTCTACATGCCCAATGTCCTGTGCATTACACTGGGAACACTTAATCGCTAGTGCGAATGCCCTGTTTCTCTTGACCAGCTGCTTTCCTACTAGAACAGCAGCCCCAGGAAGATTTTCCCTGTCATTCCTGCTGTTACTACACAGATCAAATGAACACAACTTTTTCTTCTACATGGGAAACTTCTCTCCACCTGGCTCAGGGATCTCAACCAATTAGGCTCCCCAGGGGAAGTCGATCAGGTCTGACAAGTTTTAACTTTGGGGGTTGAGGGGCTGCAACTGGCCTCTAGTGGGGGGAGGCCATCTTTCGTAAAAGCCAGAGATGCTAAACATCCTGCAATGCACAAGACAACCTCACCCAGAATCATCCAGCCCCAAATGTCAACAGCGCTGAGGTGAAGACATGGCCCAGCTTAGTAACAAATTCATCTTCCAAGCCACAAATCTGAGTGACAATTCTTGCCTTCATCACCTCTCCCCATTCTTTGGAAATAAAGTCTGGAAGATGCTATTTAACACCAGACACTATCATATCTCCCTAACTAAGCAAACCACTTTGGGGGGTGGGGAGAGACCCGTCTCTGTACAAGGAAACAACTACCCACCCAGAAGTGCGTTTTTGCAAGTGGAAGCAGACAGACTACAGTCCACACCACAGCCCCTATCAAAACAGCAATGACACACCTGAGGTGATGCCACCAAGGGTCCACAATCTATGCCATAAGTGGGGGTCATGGGGAGAAAAAAATCACCTCACTGTGCTGTGATTTTTTTCACCTGCAAGATGGTTGAGTAGCTGCAAGTCTATAGGGTGCCTCTGTTCAAATTAGAGGAAGAGATACTTTTTCTGGAAGAATGCAGCCTGGCCCTGGCTTAGGAAGAACAGATGTGCTTTCAGCCCTCCCTTACCTGCCTCAGAGAACAGCCTTGTATAGTACCCACCCTGTACAAAGTCTGCACCAGCCCCTCACCTGCCTCACACTGTCACTGTGAGAGTTGAGGGAACCCACACAAAGGCCCGTAAAACTGCTTTTTCCTGAGCGCTTGCAGGGCCTGGGGTGCACGGGGGCTCACATTGCTTTGCTGTGAGGCTGGTCCCAGTGTCATACTCCTTTATGGAGACAAACTCCAGTCTGGGAGGGGCGGGGCGTGAAGTAGCTGCCCGAAGACACAGCTGCTGAGGCCTCACATAGTTTATCCTTATGAAACTGAGAAGTGCAGCTAAGGCTCTATGCTCCCTCCTGAGCCCTTGCTACATTTTCTTACAAGAAGCTAGAAAAATAACTCCCTGTAACTTCATCCAGATTTACCCAGCCATTCACACAGCCCTGGGTCTGTCTACAGCTGTGAAAACACCCTATAACCCCTGTTTAAATTTCCAGCGACAAAGGATAAAATTTAAATCTTTTTCTTGGCAAAAGGAGCAACATAAACCACCCCCACCCCTCAGGTTTCTAAACTTTGGTCACGGTGGAATGTGGTTAAGGAGAGTACAGGCTCTGGGGCAAGAAAGGGCTGAACCTGATCTAACCTCCCCAGGCTTAGTTTACTCATCCTTAAAATGATCACAATACAACTCTGGCCTGTACAGAGATGCTGGGGGAGTAAGCGATGTACCACGGAGACACTGGCTGGCATGGTGCCCAGCTCAGACAAGGTCCTGGCAGCCGGCAGCTGAACTGTGGCCTCCCACATGACTGCCAGCAAGCCTCGGCGTCCATGTCTCCCAGATGGGGATGGCAGTGCTTACCCCTCAGGGCTATCAAGAGGATTAGATGGGACAACAGAAATAAAATGCAGAGTACAGGGCCAGGTGCTCAGTAAGTTCTCTGTAAATGTAAGCTAGTATTGTGACTAAGAATCTTTGAATCCTCCAAGAAATGGGCTTCAATTTCTACAAGTATCTCATGTGCTTCTCATTGTTTTTAATGGGGAAGCAAACACACTATTATACGATATTGCCTGCATTTGGTGAACTGGGAGACATGGTCCAGGAGGAACAACTGCAGGCTCCCTGACCACCCCTTTCTTTGGCCATTTCCACCCTGTCGCTGTCCCTCTCACCTGCCCTGAAGGCTAGCCCCACAGTGGCTGGGGCCTGAGGCCGTGCTGTCTGGCTGGTGAAGCCACACTCGCCCAATGTCTTTCCGTCGTCCAGAAGCTGGTCGTCCTGAGGAGAGAGGCAGGCAGGGTCTCAGAAGAGGCCCCAGGAGGGGCAAGTCCCAAAGACTTCTCTGGTCAGCAACTACACTGAAAGTCAGAAGACGGAAAAGAAACAGCCCGGAGTAGGGCCCAGAACCACCCCAGAGTATATCAAACAGTTTCCAGGACTACACCCAAGACTTTCCAAATCAGAACCTCCCAGGGTAGGGTAGGGGTCTGGAATCTACACCCCTGCAACTCCAGGTGAATCTAATCTAATTTCAATCTACACCCCTGCAACTCCAGGTGAATCTAATTTCAAGTGTCAGTGACCCCATCTGGCCACAGGCAGACCTGGTTGAATCCCAGCTCTCCCACCTTGCACAAGGTGGTTGATCTTTTTGATGTGAAGTTTCCTTATCTGTAAAACGGGAGTTATTGGAATTCCCAACTCATAGGGCAGCCAGAGGCTTCAATGAGCAAAGGACCTACAGAAAGCACAGAGCACAGCAAGTGAAACAAGCTCAGGCAGTAGGAAAGGTCCTTATTACAGAAGCCCCAGCAGGTAACAAGAAAAAAAGGCCTTTAGAGACAAAGCGGGTGAAGGCTCAGCCTGCAGCAAAAGATCAGTTTCCCAGTCTCCACCCAGAATCAGATCAAGGAACTTAGGTGAGGGACCTCATGCTGCCAGAAACTTGAAATGAGGGGCCAACGAACAGGACTCCCCAGTGAAAACCCCAAATCCCACGACATCCTTGCTGGATAATTGCAATTGGTTTGTAAGGGGGAAAGGGGCGGGGGCTTTTAGAACAGCAGTAAGTTGGGGAGTAATAAACAGTTGTTGGGTGAAGAACTGGTGGGACCTGACTCATCTCAACACCCTCCATTTCTCCGTTTCTTTGTATTAAGGCGTGTCTGGGGCGGGGGGCGTGTGAGAGTCCTGCACACGATTGAGCATCGGGGTTCAAATCCTGACTCTGCCAACAACCTTGGCCTCGTTAAGCGGCCACCTCCGAGCCTGTTTCCTTAACCGCAGAGCAGGGAAATCAAGGGCCAGCACGTCGCGGGTGGGACCGCTGTAGGGATCAGATGTGACGCTGGCCCTCGGCGCTCAGCATAGGGCCTGGCGCGCGACTTTCAAGCCATCCGAACGGAGACCCCCGGTGTAGCGACCGCTATCGGGGCTTCATCTCCCCGAGTTCGAGCAACGGCCCCACGCGGCGGAGTTCCGGCCCGCGGCAGCCGGTCGCTGATGTTTACATCAACGACTGGGCCGCCTTGCGCCCACGGCCAGGCTCGGGCGGCGGTTCCGAGCAGCACGCTCCCCCAGCTCCCGGCCGCCCGGAACCGACGGGACCGCACCTTGTACAGCCGCTGCTCGTCCGGCGGCCGCTTGAGGATGCCCTCGACGATGCGCTTTAGCTCGAACACAGTGCTCGACTCCTTGGCGTCCGTGAAGATGGTGGTCTTGTGGCGCCGGATCATGAGGAACACGTCCTGGGGGCGGCGGGCCGGGGTGAGCGCGGAGCCCGGGCCCCCACGCACGGCCCACCGCCCTTGCCGCCCCCGGCCCCGGCCCCGGCCCCGGCCAAGCGCCCCTCCCCCAGCGCCCGCTCACCATCGCGGCGGCTGCCTCTCCCCCTCGACGCGCCGGCGCGGCCGCGCTCCGCCCCGTTCCCGGCAGCCCGCGCGCTGTTCCCAGCGTACCCCGCGCCTGGCGGCCCCGCCCCATGGCCGCCATTTTAAGTAATCCGTAAAGGGGGCGCTACGGCCGAGCCTCCGACTGCGGACTGGGCGCCGTGGCGCGGGGCGGGGCCAGTTGGTGGAGTGGCGGAGGTAGTGGGAGGCCGACAGGGACCGAGCGCGGGAGGGACGCCCGGCGCGGTGGCGCCATCTTGGGTGTGGCAAACCGAGTTCCCCATGTTGATGCAGGCTAGGGGACTCCCGTCCTTGTGGGGAATGTCAGCCTTGTGGGGACTAACTTCAAGCGTAGGGTGCCTCACAGCCTAATGAGAGTGAATGAATGATGTGTCTCGGTCATCAGGGCGGCAAGACATTCACATCTCAGCGAGACCTGGGCTGCCAGATTTGGGAGTCTGACTCATGATTATGGGTCTTCCTGGCGGGTGTTTTGAGGAGGTGTTAAATTCTGGATCTTTCGGCCGCCGTATCAGGAAACAGCCCCATGTCCCTGCCCTAGCCTTGGTTGTAAGGATTAAACCAGTTTACCGGGCTTTAGGGCCTGTAAGGATCCTTGGAAGCTGCTTTTGGGGTTAGGGAGTGTGTAAGCAGCTCTTTGCAGGAAACCGCCCTCAGCAGGAAGCCCCTTTTCTTGTCACTTTAGCAAAGCTATATTGTAACTAACTTTTTTTTTGGGGGGGCATACTGCTCACCACGTGGAAACTTAATTCCCCTGACTAGGGATCCAACCCCCTGCCCCCCTGCGTTGGAAGGTGGATTCTTAACCACTGGCCCACCAGGGAAGTCCCTGTAACTAACTTTTAAACCAGGCACTGCCCCTCCACCCACCCCATGTTCTACCCATCTCTGGCCCAAGCACACCTTTCAAATCTTTTAATTACACAATACCTTGCCAAACTAGTTGGTTCTTTAGAGCAATGAGCAAGTATTTAACAGATGACCAGATCTCTTCCCTAGCTTTCCCTTCAGTAACCTGAACAAACTGTGTGACCAAACTGTGAACAAGATAACATCTAGAGGAAGAGCCCAAGAAGTTAACCAGCCTGCATGCAGTGGAGGGATGGCAATAATTCTGACCCGCTATCTCAACAATTAACTGAGATTACTTCCCTTCTGCCCTTTAAAATTTTCATGCCCGAGCACAATCTGTGGAGGTGGTTTTTGGGGGACGCTGAGTCTACCATCTCCCCAGATTGTTGGCATTCTGATTAAAAGCACCTTTCCTTTGCCACCAACATTTGTGAGTATGCAATTGATTGTGAGCAGCAAGCAGCAGGACCCCCATTTGATAACAAGGCCTGGCAAACATCCTCAGAAGAAGCAGCATGTATGGCCAAAGTTGGTGTTCATGCTTCCCAGGAGGAGGGTGCCCTGGGTAACTGCCCGCCTTTCTGCCCAGGTCCACTCAGGCTCCAGAAGGGCCTGTGGACTTGGTTTCCCTCTCTGGCTGCCCTTCGTACCTACTGACAGCCTAGGCCTCCCTCCTTGGTAGTTGGATGCTCTCCTGTGTCGCCCCAAATTGCAGTTATACTAGAGCAAGAGAAGGAGGCTTTTCTTTCAACCTCTCCCAGGGAGAGGGAGAACCTCAGCTGAGTCATTGCTGGCACGTGCCAGAGAAGGCATGCCGTGGCGCCCAATGAGAGATGAGCCAGTGGTGACCCTGGATGCTGAACAGCTCAGCAGTTGTTGAGGCCACAATTTGAGGATTCTTTGGATTGGGTGGAATCTGAAGATGCTGCTGCCTTGGTCCTGAATCAAGCTGGTGGCTAGCCATGCAGGCTCTGGGCTCAGACCAGCTGGGATTCAAATCCTTGCTCTGGCACTGAGTGTGCAGCCTTGGGCAGTTAACCTCACCAAGGCCCAGTTTCCCCCTCTCTGAGATTGGGGAATAACTGTTTGTAAAGTTTGTGGAGCCTTGCTGTAAGCAGGTGGGGGGGGGTCCCTGGAGAGAGAACCCAGCATGGCTTTCTTGACAGAAGAGAAGCCATTTTTGGCCTAAGCCACTTTGTGATCTAAGCCTGGCCTCATTGCAAGCCCTTTCATGAATATGCATGTACCCTTAGCCTAAAATTCCCCCAATTTTGCTGTTCGGGGAGACACTGCTTTGGGAAAGATCCCTGGTGTTCTCTTCACTTGCTGCAAATAATAATAAATCCTTCCTTCTCCCCATCTTTGGTTTGGTTGTGGTCTTTTCGCTTGACACTCACCAAGAGGCAAACCCAGTTTGCCGGTAACATCACCAAGAGTTAGCACTCAATAGATGTTTCCTAAACTATAGCTATAGTTATCATTTTTGACTTCTGGCCTCTGGCTCCTCAGGAGTCCTTTGAAATCCCTTTCCTTCCTGGGACTCCTCCACACCTGTGCCTCAAGGCAGCCCTTTCCCTCAGATGGGATCTCTGTGCACCCCATTGTGCTATGGTGGGTGGGTCGGTTGCAGGACGTAACTGCAGTCCTCGTGTCAGTGAGTACAGTGGCACCTCCTGCAGTGGGAATGGGGTCAGGAGAAGTTTGAAGGAGGAGCAGGGGCTGAGCCCCCAGCCACCCAGTTCTGTGGTCTAGCTGGGTGCAGGCCCTCCTTCCTGGGGGCCATGACAGACAAAATGGGAGTCTCAAGATGGTGGGTGAGCCAGCTGGCCAGCTGCTCTTGCTTCTCTGCACAGGAAGTCCTCCTGGGCCCTTTCTGCCCTGTGGCCTCAACCACCCAGCGCTCACGATAGAGGCCCTCCCCGGCCTCCAAACTAAGCCTGTAGGGTATCAGCCTGGTGGGACTTCTCCTTTGGTCTACTTAAACTTTTTAAAGTGTTGATTGATAAACAGTAATTGTCAATCATCACTCGTTACTAGTGTGCCTCTAGTTGTGTCATACAACTGGCTTCATTTCTATGAGGGAAGTGACAATTCAGTGTGGAATTAGAGTCAGTCGCCCAGATTCAAATCTGGTTCCACCTCTTGCCTGCTGTGGGTCTTAGGGCATATTACCTAGCCTTTCTGGTCCTGTTTCCCCATTCGTGAAATGGGAACACCTCACGGGTGTTCAGAGATCAGCTGAGAGCCCGCCAGTGCCTGGCTCAGCCTGTGTGCTCGCTGGGCAGAACTGAGTCATTTTGACTCTCCCTACAGCCATGATAGGGTTGGTGTTACCAGTTCAGATTGTAGATGGGGAAACTGAGGTTGAGTCAGTACTCCTGGGAGAGGCTGGGCCATCTGGCTGCAGCTCTACCAACTGGAGCAGGTGAGCAGCTAGAGAATGCTTGCTTGGACAGGAGCCTGATGTCCTGTCCCCGGTGGGTTCTGAGGACTATCCTCGCCGCCCCAGGGGCTCCCTCCTGGCAGGTCAGGCAGCCGTTGTGAGGCCAGGGGCAGGATGCTACTGAGGCAGGGCCAGGTCCATACCCCGCCGCCACCGCCGGCGCCCCCCCCGCCCCAGCTCCAGGCCCAATGACCTTGCTGACAGGCTGGATGCAACAGCACAGGGTGCCATGCCACTGAGCCTGCTGGACAGAGTAGAGCTGTAGCTTGTCCAGCCCTGTGAGGCTGCCACAACAGGAACAAGCAGAGAGGAGGCGGGCCTGGAGGCCACACTGTTGGAGTGCAAGTGGAGAGAACCAAGGCGGTAATACCCTCTTTACCACCCCCAGCTGCCTCCAGAATCAGACCACCTGGGTTCAAATCGCAGTCTACCGTCTACCAGCTGTATGCCTTTAGGCCTGTTTTCTCAGCTGACAAATGGGGAAACCCCCCTCACAGAGTGTCTAGTGAGAATCTCATGAGATGGTGCAGTAGAGCTCTCTGCACCGTGTCTGGTGAGGGTTTAACGAGGAGTAGCAGATTTCTGCTCATTCCCTTCCGTGGGCAGCCTGCCCCCTCCACTTCTAGGACACCCCTGCTTAGCTCTCACCTTATGCTTCAGAAACACTTGGCTCTGGGACTTCCCTGGTGGTCCAGCAGTTAAGACTCCATGCTCCCAATGCAGAGGGCCTGGGCTCGATCCCTGGTCAGGGAACTAGATCCTGCATGCCGCAACTAAAGATCCTGCATGCTGCAACAAAGATCCCGTGAGCCTTAAGAACCAGCACAGCCAAAGAAAGAAAGAAAAGAAACACTGGGCTCTGAATGGGGATCCATTACTCTAATCACGGCAGGTCCAAGACTGAGGCATCCTGGCTCTCAGTCCCTGGCTTTTTCTGGTCTCAGTACCTTGGGAGGCATCTTGAGGAAGTTCTCTGGGCTGGCCCCCAGCTGAGGGCGGGATGGGAGGATGGCCAGCATCACCCAGCAGGGGTGGCCAGGGTCCCACCGCAGATGTGCCCACAGCCTTTTGCCTGGCCTGCCACAGCCATGCCCTGTTCTGGGTACCCTGGTCCCCAGTGACCCCACAAGGGACAGCCAGTAGACGGCCCTCAGCCTAGGGGAGACAGCAGCCCAGAGCTCCCTCACTGCCCAGTCCACAGCCCCACCCTCCCAGCCTGGCTTGGCCCAGCAGCGACCACGTGCTGCAGCCACTTTTTCCCCTGGGAGGAAAGAAGGGAGGGAGACGAAGCTCAGGCCTGCGTGGTGGCAGCTGCACTTGGTCCTGCCCAGCCAGGCTGCCCCTTCAATGATAGCTTCCCCTGTTCCCCCTTTCCCGACTGCCCTGTCAGCTCCAAAGGGGGGCTTCAGGGTTTCCAGGTTTTGTTCTGGTTCTTGTTCTTTCTGCTGTTCTAGAAACTGAGCTCTGTCTATAGGGATGGATGATCCTTGGCCTGGTGATGAGGAGATGGCAGAGAGGGGATAGGACACCAGGTCCCAGCACATGAGGGTGTTCAGGGAGTTGAAAGGGCCTAGGCCAGTCTCCAGATGCAGGTGGGGGAAGGGGGTGGTCCTGGGCCTGGGGGCCTGGCCAAGGCTAGGACACAGCCTCAGACTCATCCAGGGCATGGATGGGGGCAGTGGCAGAAAAAACAAGGATATCAGAAGCTATGGCCAGGCCTATCTG